GAGTCCCATCCAGTGTTGGTCCTGAAAGTCTTAAGAGTCCCAATCCGCTGCCGCTTCTTGTGAGCAGTCAGAGGTCCGGCCTGATTTGCTCTCTGCCCCTCTGCCCAATCTTCTGTGGCGCAATGGGTCAGTGTGTCTATCAGTTAACCAGAAGGTTGGTGGTTTGAACCCACCCAGGGACAGCTGTGGGCAGAATTCCTGCATTGCAGGGGTTGGACTAGATGACCCTCAGGGTCCCTCCCAACATGATTTCTATGAATCCCCCCACTCACCCCTGTCCAAACAGAAATCACACCTGTGCAAGGGAATGGGCTGCCCAGGTGGAGAAAAACCAGATCCTCAGCCCCCAATTCCATGCAGGAAAACTTGCCACCTCCATCAAAAAGCAAAAGAGGGAGGGGGCAACAGGCCAACCCATCCTCTGCCAAAAGCAGAGGCCTCCCGCTTGGTTCCCTCTGCACCAAGAGGAAGGCTGGTTCAAAGGAATCTGCTCGTGTGAGCAAGGGAGGAAGAGGAAGTCGGGATCTAGCAAGCACTCCAGCGTGGACCAGCCAGATGGGCAGAGTATAAATAATAAAATTATTATTGTGATTAAAGCTTGCTTTCTGAGGGTGGCTGCACTCAGGAAAGGAACAGATAGGCCAGGGAAAGCGGGGCACACGATTCGGCTGCCGGCTGGGCAAAGCGAAAGGAGAACCACATAGAAGCCATAAGAGCAGGGAGAGTGGGAGGCTCTAAAAGAAAAGTGAGGTGCCCTCAGCTATAAATCAACCTCATCAGGAGGATGCCCTGAAAATCTGGACTCAAATAGCCTCCAATTAACAGTATAATCCGGTGTACATAAACTCTTAGTTTACAAATCGCACACTCCCATCAAAGTGCCTGCTAGCGAAGCAGGTGCAATAAAATAAAACTGTTTGGCTATAACTTCTGTTATTCACAGTGACCGCTGTCAGAGAAGGAGCAGCGCCTATTTAAGGATGGGATGGTAAGTTTGGAGGAAAGGAAGAGCTTTACACGTGTTGGGCGCGAAACCAAGCCTACGAATCTGGGATGTTATCTAGGCTGCGTCTTTCCCACTCGCCCTCCCTCCTGCATTAGCCCTTTCTCGCCCGGGCGCATTGCTGTCCCCGTGTCTGTGCGCACACCTTCAATGAAAAACGAACCGAAGAGGGGCGCGACAGCAAGCACTATCCAACAGCGGTGCCAACTTGAATAAACTACTTTTGCGCGGAAGGCGACAGCTAAGCCCGCCCCAGAATCAATGACAAGATGTGGTGCACGCCCACCATTTCCTATGGGCTTTGTGGGGTCCCGGCCCCTTCTCAAATGGGGGGGGGGGGTCCGCCCCTATAATTTGGCTCCTACGCTATCAGAGGCAAAGTGCGAGCTTAACTTCAGACCTGGCGTGGCTGGGAACGGGGCTGCTAAAGGGGGGGGGGGGCGCGAAGAAGCCCAGTTTGCTATGTATATTTAGAGTCTGAATTCCGTAACACTGTAAGGCACAGTGCTTTACAACTGCTAAACAAGAAGTAGAAAATGTATGTATAGTGGCGCAGTTAGCTGCATGGGCGCCCGGAGCGGCGGCCATGGGCGCAACCCCCCCCTCCCGCAGTGTGCCTTTTTGTCACCCCCCCCCCCAGCCTCAGGAATGACACCAGGTGGGGCGCCCCCCCTTCCTACACCCCTGCGTATGATGCCTCCCAGCCACCCCCACTCGCAGGAAGAAGACCCCCATCCCCACAAGGGCCTGCTTACATCGCGGCAGGGCCTCGGTGAGCATCCGTCTGCCTCGGGCGATAAGGGAGGAGCGCGCCTTCGGGGGAGAATGGCAGCTAGTTGGGGAGTCGTCGGCACGACTCGCACCAGCCCCGCCCCGGAGCCCTGCAGGCGCGTCCAACAGGTCTCTTGGGAGTTGGAGGTGCCTCCCCGAGCCGATGGCATGGCAGTCGAATCCTCGCGCACCCCTTTCCCCCCTTTTACTCCCCCCTCGCCTATTTCCCTTGTCTTATCACAGTACGGTACACGGCCGACACTTTTTAAAAAAAGACGGGAGAAAAACCGGGCTTCCTGCTCAACTTAGTGAAGTGCCAGCCCTAGCCCTCATGAGCCAAACAAGCAAGCCAAGCAAGCAAGCAAACTCCTTCCTGTAGCTTTTTAAAGACACTTTTTTCCCTTCTGAAACCGCCCCCCCCAAAAAACCCCATTCATTTATGCTCACAAACTAGAGGAAAGAAAACTTGCTCGCCACTGCATCTTCTTAAATGCACCCAATTCCACGTAAGTGATGAAATGCAGCTCCCTGTGCCAAACAGAGCTTTGCCAGTAACTCCCCCCCCCCCATTTGAGAATTGTGTGTCTTCTCCTGTCGGTGCACAGAGTTCATCATGCAGCGAGATCTTTAAACATTTTCAAGGGTTAATCAGAGGACTCACAAAGGAGGGGGAAGGGGTAGAATTAGAGACCGGATTCCACGAAGAGCAGAACCCCGTTCAGCCAATTTTGAAACCTTATTTTCAGCGCTACAAAGGCAGGTGTGACAATGCCGGTTGGTTTCCGGACCTGATTTAAGGTGCTTGAATCAGTGTTTAAAGCTCCGAATGATGCAGACACCAA